AGATGCCGGTGTGGAGCAACCCTGCTCCCCAGGGTGACAACCGGAAATGTTTCCAGATGTGGCCAAACGTCCCGGGGGCAAGACCAGCCCCGGCAGACAGCACTGGTTTAGACCCGCTGCCCCATAATTCGCTGCTTCTGCTCCATAACCTCGTGGCCACCTCCCTGTGCCAGCACGGAGACTGCCTGGACCTCCTCAGAGCTACTTGGACGGATGGATGTCCTGTAAGTCAGGGGTCTCCAGCCCCTGGGTACCGGTCGTGGCCTGTCAGGAACTGGGCCACGGCAGGAGGTGAGTGGCGGGCGGGCCAGCGAAGCTCCGTCTGTGTCTGCAGCTGCTCCCCAGCGCCGGCACCACCGCCTCAGCTCCGCCCCACATCCTCAGGCATTAGAGTCCCATAGGAACACTGGGTCCCTGGGGCCACAAAGGCTGCGGACCGCTGCCATAAGTTAGTTATACTGGACGATGACGCGTCCACGCTTTATCACTGTGGCAATGCGACAGGGACCATCCTCGTACTGACATCTTGATAGCACTCTGTTGAAAATCTCCTGGGGCTGGGGCTGCTGGGTCAGAGAACACACACTACGAATTAGAAACACTCACTTAACGTCTCAGGCTGCTCTCCGGAGGCGCGGCACCAACGGCAGGTGCTCTGTGGCCGTCTTCTGTAACTGAAAAAGCCCGACGGCAAGGTGGTCGCTCACCTCACGGAACCGAGCACAGTCCGAGGAGGAGCGACAGCCTGGGAGCCCTCGCACCCGCAGCTATGACCCGGCTGGGACCCAAACGTGCCGCAGTAACGTGGGGTGGAGTCAGCCGAGGGTCCCCGACATTCGGGATGGGGAAGTCCGCATTTCACCACAGCCGACAGGTCCCCCAGGTCTGGAGAGGGGTCAGCCAGGCAGGGAGGTCTTCGAGAAAGCCGGGCAGGACAGAAACCCGCTGCTGAGGATACCCGCCGGCCCCGCACAGACGAGCGCGCCCACCTTGCAGTGAGGGGCCTCAGACAGCTCCCCACACCACGGCCGGGGGCCGACAAGGTCACGCAGGCCAAAAGCTCTGGAATGTGAAGCCACCTGTCTGAAAGGGCACCAGACGTCCGTATGGACCCAAGTGAGTGAAGGCCAGAGAGGCAGAGTGACCGGCCCAAAGCCATCCAGCCTGCCAGCCGCACGGCCCCAGCGTGACCGGGTGCCCCAGCCCTTTCCCACGGGACCGCGTGCTCCACCTGCACCGCGAGCTCGGCCGAGGGTCAGGAGAGCGACTTGTCACTTTTAATCAGAAGCAGGCTGGGGCAGTTTTCTTGGTCATTAACCTGTCACGCTCCCGCCCTAGCCCTCGAGCTCGTCTTTCAGGGTGGGGGTTTGCGGCCACCGCGGACGGGGCCCAGACAGGCGGGCACTCGGGATGCGGTGCCCCACACCGCGGACAAGGGAAGGAGCCGCACACCCTGGAGCAGGAGGCGGACGCGGCTCGGCAAACTCGGGCTGTGGAAGAAACTCTGGAAATGCCGGAGAGTAAAGAGAAAAGCCTGTCGCTAAGGAGTGAGAGCCGCCGCCTCAGCCAGCGCAGCGGGTGCGCTGGGTCCCGGGAGGACAGTTAATTCCTTAATAGACGTTCTAAGCACACCGGTGAACGGCCTCTTGTTTGCGAAAGGTCTGGAACGGGACCAAAACCCACAAGCTCGGCAGGTCCCGAAGCGGGGGAATTCCGCACGAAAGCAAAGCCTTCTTCAAACATGCGCGTGCTCTACTGAAAAACAGCTCTAATTACTTTTTTAAGACAGGTTTTCAAAATATTGGTTTAATTTTATACTGTTTATCTAAAATTAGTAATAGTTACCCTGACAGATTTTTAACAATAAACGCTTTTAAAAAACGACAGCGAAAGGCTCATGTGTCCCTTTCGGGGCGTCCAAACAAGTCCCCTGTGGCTGCGCACAAGCCCTCATCTCCCAGGGGCCCAGGCTCAGAAAGGCCTCAGAATGTCGGTGCCCTGCAGCCGGGCCTGCCTGCAGCCCTGGAGGGCGTATGCCACGTGACAAGCGAGGCATGTGACACTCAATGGGACAAGCAGTTCCAAACCAAGGTCATAAGCTGGGATCGCCTGTTTCTTTAAAAACAACAAGAGCTGGAGCCAACATGAGTACACGTGCCACGTGCCACGTGCCACGTGCCACCGGACACAGGACCACTGCCCGGGTCCTGCTCGCCACCCAACTCCGCAGCGCTTCAGGGACAGAAGACACACCAGCGTGTCAGACACAAACACAGGTGGCAGAGACAGCCTCGAGCCAGAAGCACTGAAACACTATCCCAGGCCGAGCCTTCAGGGCGCCCCAGATGACCAGGAAAGGTCAGGCCTGCTGTGCTTTCCCTGGATAGTGTTTACGGATGACTTAAAATATTTTGCTCATCAAAAGAACGCACGTTCACATCGACTTCTCACATAGTACCCCAACCTCCACAGACAACAGTAAGCAGCAACCTTCTCAGACAACATGTAACTCTCAGGAACTAATGGGATGTAGGCACTACGCAAACTCACAAAGGCTGATGCTGCTCAGCCTCCCCCTCCCGCCTGGCCCACACCTGCTGTGGTGGACCCTGCACTTCTCCCTGGCCCCCACCCATCCTCCAGTGCTGCTGCGCCCCACGTGAACACGCTCTCGCTAATTAAAGACCTCACTTCACTAACGAGAAATCTGACCGACTGATTATAAACTTCAGCTTCCTAAATGCTACCTCACCCTATTTTGCTGAAATACGTCAGTCTAAGAATGCTCAAAAATTATACATCTAAGATAAAAAGCAGACAGACAAAGAGCCTGGGTCACAAGGCCACAGAATGCTCTAGAATCAGGTCCATCTGTTGCTCTTTCCAGGGAACACCACTGTGAGCAGGATGTCCAGTCACGATCCTTTTAGAACGGGGCCAGGAAGCACGCTGCTCATCTCAGAAGAACTGAGAAGAACAGGGGCAGTGGACAGCTGGGCAGGCACACGGACAAGGGAGACGCGGACGGAGGCGGGGACCACGGAGTCCTGGTGCCCGGGCGGGGCGAGGCCCAAGCTTTGCCCACAAGCCAGGGCGTCCCCCACCCCCACCCCCACCCCGGGAGCCTCCCACCTCACAGCCTCAGGCTCTAGGGACTTCCTGAAGCCAAAGCCCACCCACACTGTTTGAGGCTTGCCCAACACAGCCACACTGCATTCAAATTTTATTATTTTAAAACGCTATAAATATACATTACTACTAAACCTTTCACTGGTGCTAAGGAAACATTTTCATCTCTTTTGCATAAACGCTCGTGCTTCCTGCTGTCGGGCTAGCAGACCAGAGGAGCTACGCCTACAGCATGTCCTTGGCCTTTTTCTGACTGGCGCTCGCTGCGCGGTCGCGCTGCTGTGATGCGTACGTCCAGTTTCCAGCAGTCTCAAAACGGACACCACGTGCGGTCAACTTACATGATCAGCGCCTCCCATTCGAAAAAGTTCTCTTCATTCATGGGGCCTGCAGGAGAAGAAAAATGTGCACATTGTAACCGAAGGCAGCTTTGGCAATTAGAAGTAAATTATAAAAAGGTTAACTTTAGCACCTCACCTGCCACGATGCCTTCCGGAGGGTTCAGTGTTAACTCTATAAAATTAAAAAGTAAAACTATTATGAAACAGAACGGACATTATGTTGGCATTTTAACAACTTAAAAACTATATAAGACTGTAACTTATATATACATATTAGCAGATTAAAATTCTTTGTTCAAAGTCAGTGCCTGCTCTGGTTACATTTCTGATAAAAATGATGTCACTAGTTCTTTATACCAGCAAAAAGCGGAATTTCAAGCTAGAAACCCTTTCATTTTGCAAATGAAGAAACAAACAGGAGTTAAGTGTCTTTCCAAAATACTCCTGCAGGTTATTTTGACTAAAGCTCATAAATCAAACATAGTATACTATTTTCCAAATGAAAAGTGTCTCCTGTCACTCTGAGATGGCCAGCTGCCAGTCTATAGCGCCACTGAGAAATCTGTGAGCCCCACGCGTGTGATACGCCCCCGAGTGCCAGACTTCGGCACTGACAGTAAACCCAGCGAGAAACAAGTCGGCAGCAGCGTCTCTCAGCAATTTACGAAGATTCGTAGTGGGAAGACTCGAGGCCCTACCACTCAGAAGCTGCCACCGAGAAATGTCATCTCAACTCTCGGCCTCCTGGATTTTTATATGGGAGGCTCCAAGATGAAACCCACCCCGTGGACAAACCCGCGAAGGTAAAGAGCAGGAGGAAGGCCATGGGCAAGCAGGCTGGCGACACAGGAGTGGGAAGCAGGCCACAAACGCAGGCCCCATTTGGGCCGCGCGCCGGGGAAGTTACTAAAATAGTAAGAAACACACAAACAGAAGATCAACCAAACCAAAAGTTGGTTCTTGGAAGAGACATAAAATTAACAAATCCCTGCCACAAGGCACAGGACTGGAGAAGAAGAAACAAACCGTCATTATTCACGGATGCTGCGCCAACATACACACAGAAAGTCCAAAAGAACCTGAAGATAAATTATTAGAAAGAGTTTGCCAACGCTGCTGAACAGGTCGAGATACGTAACTGAGCTGCTTCTTTCCATTAGCAAGTCAGAAAAGGACAGTCTTCCAGTTACAACAGGAGACGCGCGGAAACGGGCTTTCAGCGGGGCGAAGGTCTGCAGCAGCTGGACAAGACCTTGCGGAGAGCTGACCACCGCATCCTGCGCAGAGCCCAGCACCTGGCTACCGGGCCACCGCAGGCTGGACGCGAGGCTTCCATGCCACCTCCGCCACTATCCCAACAGGTGTTCTTGTTTGAATTGGACGATTCTAAAGATGAAAGACAGTGCAAACTACCGAGACAGCCAAGGCGCTCTAGAAAGAGCGCGCGGAGAACTCGGTGGAAGGCGCCCGACCTCCGCGGACGCTGCAGCACGCAGGGCAGCGCGCGCAGCCCCTGAGACAGCGGGATGGGGCGGGGTGCGCCCCGCAACAGACGCGCGCACGTACGGCGCCCCCACTCACTCCGAGGGCAGTGCCGCGGGCGGAGGCGACGGCACAGACCTTCCCACGAACGACCAGAAAAATGAGACCTTTTCTGCATTTGACACTACATACAAAAATCACAACATAGAAGAAAAAGGGGAGAAAGGACACAAGGCAATAGAAAACGTGTATATATATATGTTAGAAAACATGTATATATAGAAAACATATATATATAGAAAACATATATATACATACATATACATAAATTGGTCTCTGCCCCTGGCTCCTGGCACCAAGCTCCTAAATCCCATAGGATTTCCTGGGTGACAAGAGCCTCTTTCGTCCCGATGAGGTGACTCTGGGTGGCTCCTGGGTGGGGGCTGGTCTCCAGAAAGACGAGTTATGATCAGAGGCTGGGACTCTCAGCGCCACCCCACCCTCCAGAGGAGAGGGGAGCGGGGCTGGGCACAGGTATGATGGATGGTGCCCACGTGAGGAAGCCCCATAACCCCCAGTGGCATGGGGTTCACGGAGCTTCTGGGTGGGGGGCACGCAGAGGGGCTGGGAGGGCGGCACCCTTCCTCTTTCCAGATGTTCGCGGCCCTGTCACTCTGCCCTTCTATCATAAGCTGGTAACTGTCTTCCTGAGTCCTGAGCCACTCGAGCACATTCACGGAGCCCAAGGCGAGGGGCATGGGGACTCAGACTCACAGCCACTGGCATCTGAAGCAGGGAGGCAGCCTTGCGGGACTGAGCCCTTAGCCTGTGGGACCTGACACTCTCTCTAGGTACCTGGTGTCCGAACCGAGTTAAACTGCAGGACGCCTCACTTGTCACAGCGTCGCCTGGTGGGGGAAAATCCCACACCGGTGCAGAGTGTTGCGAGTGTGTTCGGGGTGGGGGCATGACGGAGACGCACAGAAGGATGGGTTTTCTAAATAGGGCGGAGATGTGTACAGACCTGTCACCAAGGAAGACATGGGCAGCAAATCAGCTCATGAAAAAATGATCAACGTTGTGAGTCATAGGGGAAATGAAAATTAAATCCACAAAAAGATACGGCTATGCAGCTTTATGAGTAAAAACACCTTTACTTAGAACAAAACAGCTAAAATGAAAAAGACCGAATATACCAGCGTCGGCGAGGTTAGCGGCCGCACCTGCCGTGCTCGCCGGGAGACACGCAAAGCGACTAGTTGCCCGCAAAGCAACTAGCTGCCCTCCGTTAAACGGCTGGACCATTCTCGAAAACAGGCTAAACACATACTCACCCTGAGACCCAGCAATTCTCCTGGAGGATACTCACCCAAGGAAAATGAAAATTTCTGTCCCCGTGGATGCAATTTTACTCATAATGACCCCGCACTGGGACCAACCCAAACGTCTACCCCACTGGTCAATGAACGAGGTGCGATCTGCGCGTACGGTGGAAAACCACTCAGCACTAAGGAACAGACCGGGGACACCTGCCACACGTGGATGACTAAGCACTATGCTAAGTGGGGGGAGCCTATTTATGTGAAATTCTGGAAAAAAAGCAAAACCACAGTAACAGAAAGCAAATCAAATGTGGCCAGGGGCCAGGGCCACGGGAAAGTGGGAAGGGACTGCACAAGGGCACAGGGGCACCTTCTGGGCAACAGAAATGTCTGTGCCGTGGCCGTGTGGACAGCCGTGCGGCAGGCTGCACTTGTCAAAGCTCAAAGTCCAGTACATTTGAAATTGGCATATTTTATTGTGTGCAAATTTTATCTCGAGAAAGTTGACTCGCCCCAAAATTAACTTCAGTTGTTTTATGCAGTATAAAACAATAAATCTCCTAGAGGGTAATACAAAATAATATCTTCACTCTCGTAGTATAAAGTCTTCTTAAATAGGACCAACGATCAAGTTAATAACAAAAAAGTTCTAACCATAAAAGAAAAGACTGATAAAATTAAGAATATTAAAATTGAGAACCTCTGACAGCAAAAGACATCTTTTTTTAAATATTCAAAAGACAGCTTTAAGAGGATAAAAAACTAAGCCCCAGAGGAAGATGATATTTGCAATAGATATCAACCAGCGAAGGGCTCATATCCGAACTCATGAAGAACGTCTTGCAAATCAGTAAAAGTACAGAAACAACCTGAAAGAAAATCAAGCACACCACTTAACAGGCACCACACACACACACACACACACACACACACACACACACACACACCTGTGTCCACACGTCTGTGGACAGAGACGATGTCTATAAATAGCCATAGGCGCAGAGATGCGCACATCTCCACAACTAAGCAGCCGATACACACACGACAAGGACCCACCGCGCTCACTGTGGGGAAATTCACGCCAGCGCCACCGCGAGACAGCGCTACCGCCACCAGGTGACCCAGTGACCAGATCAGGAAGCGGGGAAGGGTCCACACGGACCGGCGGTCGCCGAAACGGTCCTCTGGCTACGAGGCTCCTCGCGGCCACCACGACCCTGAACCCCTCGCAGGAGCACAAGCGCAGAAACTCGTGTGCACATGTGTGCGCGTGTTTGCACGTGTGCACCAAGACTCGTGTCTCGGAACCTTTTGCTTTTACCTGCTACCGTCATCACTGGGAAGCGCTTCAGAGTCTACGTAGCAACCAACATGCTTCTGCGCAGAGCGACTTACACCAAATTATAAAAATCCCCCTACGAACCCAGTGGGTGGAATGTCCCTGGATGTAATCGGAGTTTGGTTTTCCAAAGCTCGGCACCCTCCCCGAGGAGACAGTGTGCTCGGGTCAAGGGTGACAGCTTACGCAACGGCGAGCCCCACTCACCAGTCTCACTGGTGAGGGAGGGCCACAATCTAAATCTCAGGAACAAAGGAAAACAGATATTCACTACTGTCCTGAAAATACCGTTTTCACTGCTGGTTCAAAAGTTTGCCACGGGTCTCTATTTTGCTGTATAATTGTATTTATTGAAAAGTACAGTTACAATTCTCACAAAAGCACTCAATTCTGGTGGCGTTTCTTTACATTTGCCTCTCGGTCACACCTGAAGCTCTGAGAGCGATACAGAGACAGCCATGGGCACTGGTTTTAGCACCCCCACTTGGCCGAAACGCCTAGAAGTGGCAAACCGCTAAGCAAACATCAATTAACAAATGACTGATTATACCTTTTCTCTGCCAAGCACTATGCTAGGCAGTGGAGATACAGTGGTGAATGAGACAGACAAGGTCCCTGCCTTCAACGAGCTTCTGTCCTAACGAAGACAGACAGGCGATAAACGAGGGAACACATAAATACAGACAGTCTCGGATTTGGATGCACATGGTGAAGAGCGTGACCGAGTAAAGTGACAGATAGTCACAGTGGGCCTTGCCGCAGAGGTGACACTGGAGGTGGATGACAGCCGCAGTAACTCGTTAATATCCATCAATATACTTAGTTACAATTTTTTTTCTGGTGACGAGAACTTTTTAAAATTTCTTATTTACTTATTTATTTACTTACTTATTATGGTGACACTGGTTAACAAAATCCAGTAACTTTCAAGTGTACAATTCAAGGGTAACACGTATATATGACATTGTGTGTTCACCGCCCATAGTTAGATGTCTTTCTGTCGCCATGCATTTGACCCCATTTACTCCA